CTGTTGCAGTACTTATCACATTGTACCATAATTCTCTGCTTTACCAAAAGAATGGAAATGCTTAGAATATATGACAGTATATGGCTTGTTAAACCCTCCATGGGGGAAAAAAAAAAAAAGTGCCAGGAAGTATCTCCCAGATCTGGTTCACAGAAAAAAATGCCTCAGCCTTATTGTCAAAGGGTCTAAGAAAATGCCTTTGAGCTCTATTATCTCAATTCACTAACCAGTCCTAACAATGTATAATCAGTTCTAACAATGTAAACAAAAATTTAGGGCTATCCCCATTCTCCTGGGAATGCCAACATGTTTTACAGTCCAGAAAATCTTGCAAGTTTCCTTTCTCCATTCTCGCCTCAGAGAGACAGGAGTAAGCCAAATTACTTGGACTGTGATTTTGGCTGTCCGTGTATACCAAAGTCCTTTCATGATCTCACAAAAACTGGGCCACTAAATATAAGATTTATGCCCTAACAAGAAAACTGGCTTTGGAGTTGTACCACTACTGGTACCAAGTAACTCTTCAAAAGAGCCCCTGAGTCTGTAAGAAAACAGACACACCAGAGTCCCTACAGAACTAAGACACATTTTCCCAAGCCAGGATTCACCTGCAAATCAGGCTTAGATTTTTACCTAGAACTAAACAACCATTTCCTGTCTTTGAGGTGCCTTCCTCTGAGCTCCCTCAACGTTGACACACTTTGCTTCTCTATATTGAAATTGCCTATTGATAATATTTGCCCTGCCAAACTGCACCATGTGATTCCTGAGCAGCAGGGAACTGAATCATTTTCTGTTTTAGATTCCCAATGCTTACATGGTAGGTGCTAGCTAATATCTGTTGCATTGAACAGAACTGAATTCTTCTAAGCAGATTTCTCTGCCCAACCTCTCAAGGCACTGGAGAAGTAAACAATCAAGACGCCACACCCAGCAATGACCCTGTTCTGGTAACCTTTATCAAGCCATTCCCTATGCTGGATCTAATTACTATGTATCACAGGAATCATAAAATTTCCACTCAGATCAGCAGAAACAATAAAAAACAATGTGTACCTTTCTATAAAGTGTCCAAAGCTCTTCAGAAGAGAGGAAGGAATGTTCAAGCTTTCTATAAAAAGGGGGACAGTATATCAGACAGCTGAGCAGAATCTCACAATTGCTCATGCTTGCTTTTTTTAAAAAAGTAAACTTTTTACATTAGAACAGTTTTAGATTTACAGGAAAAAAAAATGCAGAGTTCCCAAATACCCTGGGCCCAGTTTCTTCATTATTAACATCTAATATTAGTGTGGGACATTTACTATAAGTAATGAACTCATATTGATACATCATGATTAACTATATTCATATTTCCTCAGGGTTTTCCTGGTATTCTTTTTCTGTTCCAGAACTGCATCTAGGATACTAGCTGCTTTCAGTCATCATGTTTCCTCTTGGCTAGGAGAGTTTTTGAGATTTTCCTTGTTTGGATGCCTTGGACAGTTTTAAAGAGTACTGGTCAGGTATTTTGTAGAATGCACATCAACTGGGATTTGTCTGCTGTTTTTCTCATGGTTAGATTGCAGTTATGGGTTTGAAGGAAGACAATGACAGAAGTAAAAGGGCATTTTCTTCCTTTCTGCCTACTAAAAGTCCTGTGTCAATCCCACCCCATGCTCCCGTCCATTGCCCCCAAAGCTCTTATTATGTCAGTAGGACCTGCTAGGATCCAGGACAGAAGGCATTATTGCAGTGTATATTATGGAAAGTCATGCTTACCCTGTCGGATATCACTAGCAGCAACGCAATCCTCAGAAAAACTTTCCTGAAGGGCTGACCTTAGACTCTCAGGCCAGAGGTTCTTCGTGGCTTTTGATAGTGAGCTGAGCTGACAGGCACCTCAACCAAAGGCAACAAGCCTCTGGCAAGGAAAACCGAGCAGTCCTGCTAACTAAAGTGGTAGAAGACAAGTGATGTAAGACTGGAGTGTGGAGTAACAGGGACATTCATATGACCACAGTCAAAAGCACCTGGCAAAGAAATACACTCAGGTGCAGCAGAGTGGCAGAGCCTTGAAAAGTAAAGGCAGAAAATTTAAGGATATACAGGGGAAAACAGGTGGTGTCTAAGAACCTGGACTCCGACTTGGCTCTGCCACTGCTTTATCCAGTTTCTGAGTCAGTCACTTCACTGTTTGGGCCTCAGGTGACTAGCTCTGAATAGTGGGTATAATAGTACCTTTGCCTTGTAGAGTTTTATGAGGATCAAAGAGATAATAAGGAAGCACTGACAGGCTGCCTCATGCCAGTGCTCAATACATATTAGTTGTTATCATGATTATATTAAGATTGGAGTAGAGCTAATCTCCAAGGCATGATAGAGTTAAAACCCTAAGATTCAGAAGTTTCTAGATAAACTAGCTGGGGGAAAGAATTCAGATCTCTTGAAAAAATTCAGGAAATTCATTTTAAAAAACAAAACACAATCAAACAAAAAACTTCAATTATAACCCCCACACACCTGCTGACACACGGACTCAGTCACTGGGAGAAGGCAGATGCTTGGCATTTCTTGGATGGCTGAGTCATACTTCCTCATGTCCCCTCCCACACAATTTCAATTTATAATCATATTTACAGGGCAATTAAACAGGGATAAGTATGCTGCACTGTCGAGGGACATGAAACAGATCCAAGCCAACTTGGCCCTTCTTGAAACAGTGTACTTGGATTCAGACTGTAGAGCCAGCCAGCTAATGATTTGCCACTGCAAACAAGCTTCTACATTTACTTTCATCCTGGAAAGGATTAGACCAATTCAGGTATATTAAAGTGCTTGTAATCTGTGAAGTAATTTTAATTGAGAAACACGGTAGGTTCTGTTAAGATCTCTGGCCAGGTCTGGGACTGAAGAAGATGGTAAGAAATGTAGTGACTTTTTTCCCCTCTTCATATATCTTTTGCAAATTTGATAAAAATAGTAAAGAGGACTAACTGAGCCCTCAATTTGTGCTGGTTACAGTTCTATGCTCTTTACATGTATTAACTCATTTAATTCTTGTAATGACTCTGAGTCGATACTGTTATTATGCCCCTTGTTAAAAATGTAAATAACTGGGGTGCAAAAAAGTTAAGTGAATAGTTAAAAATCAAACAGCTAAATGCGCTATTTCAGCTGGGACTTGGATTTGGTTGTATGTAACAGCAAACTCAACATGGCTTAAACAACTTATAGTTTAATTTTCTCTTGAATAAAAGAAGGAGGGAGGTAGGAATCAAGAGTTAGAGTGGCAGCTCCACCAGTTACACTCAGACTCATGTCTTTCTTCTCTCATCTTCTTACTGCATGATGTCCAATTTTAGGTTCTCCTCAGTAGCCCAAGACCCTGTGCCAAACAGCAGAACTGTATGTCAATTGAAAGAAAAGAAAGAGGGAAAAAGAGGGCCTCTTGGCTTTTCCACAAATCCCACCTTAGAACTTCCCATAACATCTCATTAACTACCCCTCTGCAAAGAAGACTGGAATATACATTTTTAAAAGTTGGGCACATTTGTCAAGGTTCTGTACCAAAGGAGGAGGATCCATGCACCATAAAACACTGCTTCTCAGACTATAACTGTGCTTTTGGTTGGCAGATGAAGAGAAAGCAATATTATTATCTTTACTTCCCACTTGGAGTAGTCACTTTGAAAATACAAACAAGGTAGGGCATACAGTTTAAAAAATTAGAACTTTCCCTTGTCCACAATTTACAATTTAATTGATTAAATTCTGTAATTTCATAGAACTTAAATGGTCACTTTAGAGTCTTACAACCAAGATTAAAGGAAAGACGTAATATAGCCAGATGTGGTGGTGAATTCCTATAATCCCAGCAACGCATGAGGCTGAGGCAAGACAATCTCAAGTTGTAGGCCAACCTCAGCAATTTAGGAAGAACTTATATCTCAAAATATAAAATAAAAAAGGATTGAGGATGTAGCTCAGTGGTAAGTGCCCCTGGTTTCAATCCCTATTACTACAAAATAAATGTATTTGTGTAAAATTATTTTCCCCCCTATTTTTATTCTGAAATTTTAATCTGAAGCGTACCACCCCTGCAGACATTAGTCTCAGATTTCTCTTTCAAAGAGTAATTGTCCAGTTTTCATTTGTCTTTCTAAGGGAGAAAAAGGAAAATAATATTTGGATTATATATTTAGAGAATTTCCAAATTGAGTTATTCTAAATTATGGCTAAAACCTTTCTTTGACCTCAGTTTCTTCAGTTGTAAAGTATATATATTCATTTGTTCATTCATTAATTGAATAAATACTTGTTTGGAACTTTATAGATATCAGATATTTTATATTTGATAGTCATTTTTGTTTCACCGTTAACAACATAATGGGGTAATGTAAATAAAAGTTTGTTACTTCTATAAGTATTTTATGGTTAAATAGAAAGTATTTCTTTTCATACAAGTAAACCAAACTGGTCTTGATGGTACATTGAAAAAAGAAATTTAAAATTTTTCTTGAAATTATATGACATAAATATTTCAAATATTTTTACCCAGAAAAAGTATATTTTATATTATGAATCTTTACATATTAGAAGATAAATATTAACAATTTTCTTTTTTAAGAGTTAACATGTTAACATACTGTGAAGTGCCTTTCTGAAACACAAAGTTTTCCTCTAGCGAGCTGATGCAACTCTAGAATAAATATATTTGCAGAAAACAGTTTTCTCATTTATACTATTATAGCCATATTTCTTCTCTAAGGAAATATAAATATTGCTACTATGTGCATAAATGTATTAGGAAGAAAGTCATAGTAGAAGAGTTGCCTATGATGGAAAATATAATAAAAATGTTTCCCCTGATAGAATTAAAAACTATGCATGTCACTGTAAATGAAGAGAGAGAACTTCAGAATCAAGAGTTTGGGGCTATGGCTGGGGTGCTGTTGATTATTCTTAGTTTGTTACTAATTCTGATTACCTTCTGACACTAGGGTAGTCACGCAAATAATTGAATGCACCTTTCATTTGCAGAGTTCACAGTTCACAGTGACTGTGGGAAGAACTCAGAGCACCTGGGTACTGTCATACCCCAGCCAGAGACCTATGACCTGGTGTCGGCATTGGGGGAATGAGTCCCATAAATGGTTGGTGTTCTTCAAATACAGCATGTTCGCTTCAATTCACAAAAATCAAACCCCCCATTTCAAATGTGGATTCAAAAAAGAAGCAAATATTGTAAAGCTGAGTTCATGAGGAGGAAAGCTTTCTTGTAGAAAGGGAACGAGTATAGCAGTTATTTTTTAAAAAAGCAGACACAGGTTAATACAATTTTCAACATGTCTTTCCTTTGTGTCCTTCATATTATTCAGAAAAAGGTTATTTAAAAAAAAACCATACCATAGCTCTTTATCTTGTCTTGGCTGACCCACTTATAGTTTGTAAACAGGTGAAAATGTGCCTGGCCAAAAGCTTGTCCTTCCTGTTCCTCAAAGTCAGTATTATTTTTATGGTATGATGCTTACAGACTCCCTTTCTTAGCACTTTTTCTGCTTTGTGAATTTCTTCCCAAATATTTCTCCTTCCTATAATGAAAGAAAAGTCCCCAAGTCCTACCAAATACTCGGTTTAATCAATGAATCATTAGCCTGTATTGGTGGTGGTCTTAATTTTCACTTAATGGCAAGATGAACCATGTGCCCTTTGTTGGGGAGCTCTGCCACAAGAAGGAATTTTTAAAAGTATGTCTCGGAAGTAAAATAGAAAAAATAGTCATGCTTAATAATGTTTGCTCCAGCTAATGAATTCCATATTTAATAAGTAGACAGTAGCCAATCTTTTACTAATCAATACTTCCTAATATATCCCATCTCCTTACTTAATGCCCACTAAAAGTATTACTAGATCTGAATCTGAGATATGGTAAATTATCCCTCTTCCCTCCTCTCTATAGCATCCTTCCACCAACACTTACAAAGCAAACAATATTCTAAAATACATAAAGAACAACCATAAGTGGGCTCCTAAAATCAGCCCATCTGTCTGATTCCCAGCACTTGTAGGTAACTTCCTTTATCTCTGGTTTAGAACTCTCAAAGCAACAATGCCAAAATACTTCAGAATGATTTTTTTAAAAAATGATGCTTATCTATTAAGCAGCAGAAGTAAGAAGTAGACCAAGTAAGACTGTAGACCTTTGTTCCAGGAAGATGACTGAAGTTCTGCTGGAAGATTCTTCAGTCTTGTGGAGTGAACTTTTGTGGCAGTAACACAACCAGGCCTGATGAGAAAAGCAGATCAAAGAAACTAAAAGTGGAGTCTGTGGTTCAATTATTTATGATGATGCTGTAACTGTATTGATCAGAGGCAGTTTTCTCTCTTGCCTTCCAGAAGCTGTCTACCCAGAGAATTGTGCCCCAGTCTGCAAATGCAGGTGGTAGCAGAGAGGTGTGAGTAGCTAACCAGGACCTTAGTTACAAGAAGACGGGTTACCCAATATAGTTCTACCATATCTAATGACAAACAAACTGAAGATCTCTCCACATATCTCATTTCCTAAGAAAGAAATGGTATATCATTTCACCTTGTACCCTGCAGGAAAAAAAGGTTCTGCCCTACCTGCCAAGATCATATTACCTCAGCATCAAAAAGCTCAATACAAAATAGAAGCTTTCAAAACACAACATGGGGGCTGGGGTTGTGGCTCAGTGGTAGAGTGCTTGCCTGGCATGCATAGGCACTGGGTTTGATCCTCAGCACTGCGTAAAAATAAAGATATTGTGTCCACCCAAAACTAAAAAAAGAAAAGCCCACAGCTTGATATTAAAAGGACAGTAAGATTTTGCAAATTTTATTTATTATATTCCCTGCTGAACCTCTACTGCCAGGCACACAGTAGGTGGTCAGCCATGTTTAATTAACTATTTATTTAATGAACTATAAAGAAATGTTGTTGGAATATTGAGATTTTAGGCACTAAAGGCCTAAATCCTTGTCTCACAGCTTGTCTTAGGAGGCCACTGGCTTAGCTACAAGTAAACCAAACTGGTCTTGATGGTACAATGAAAAAAGAAATTCAAAATTTTTCTTGAAATTATGACATAAATAATTTTTTATCCAGAAAAAAGGCATATTTTCTATTATGAATCTTTACATATTACAAGACAAAGGATAGCTGTCCTAGCCTTCCTCCTAGGCAAAGTCCTACTTGCCAGAGGAATAACTTACTCCTGCAGGCTGAGGATGAATATAGGATAAGTGTACACAGTTTCCACTTTGCCATTTCAGAAACCTCTAAGGCAGGGATTGATCCTTTGCATTGATACAAACAGTCCCAAGGAATTTGCTATCCTCTTTGAGCCAAAGATTGGGATAAACCTCTGAAGAAAGGGAAGTATTAGAAGATCCACTGTCCTTTTCATCTCAAGGGAAGAGGGTTTTGAAAACTTTGTTCTTAATGCTACTGAGGTGATTAGCATTCCATTATTCTATTTGGAAGGTGAGGTTGAGGGGAGTTCCTGTTCTGAAATAGAAGAAAAAAAAAATGTTGGTAGCTGACCAAACAGATTTATTCCAATAGGGAATTCTAAGAATTTACCCCAAATGATTTTTGGAAAACCACCTAGGGAAAGGCATATTGTGACATATTTCTATTATAGACAACTTTGGCTAATGTACTGCCTTTCTTCCTAATAAAAAGCACCTTATGGAGTTAAATAAACAACTACATTATAGAAAGAGGAAAACATAGGTGTTCCTGGTGTTCTGATAGAATTTAAATTGAGTTAAGAGTCCAAGAAATAATCAGTTTCCAACAAAAGCCTATAATGGCATAAATTTAGGATCTTGAATCAAGATGACCGTCAAAGTTCATGCTAATATCTCTGCCTCTCCCACCAAAATTTCAACAATTGATGGATATTTAATTTTTAAATCCATAGCAGTACTAGAAATGCAAATGGAAACACTGGTTGGGACATAAATTTTACAAGGAATCCCTAAAATATGTGAGGCAGATGAAATAATATCAACAGATATTAATATATAAAAATAATATGTAATAATATATAAAAATAATAGATATAAATTAATATATTTTAGGTGGATATTAATAATACCCACCTAAAAGTGGTGGTGCTGACTCAGAAAGGGTACAGACAGAAAACAGCAAGAGCCCTGGGCTGCCAGAAAGTGGTCTCTAGACATTGAAGCAAAAATGCTCCGTCCATCAGATTGAGGAATGTGTTATAGAATTAAAAACCAAGAAGGATATAAACCATGTGAAATTACCACTGGAAAAATTATCAATATAACACATTCTGTTTTTAGATTAAAAATGGAAACCATACAATCATGTAAATAGATGTTCCAAAAAGACATTTGATAAAATTCAGTATAATAAAAGTTTCGTTCACATACTAGGCTTACAAAGAAACTTCCTAGCCCCCAAAATTAAATGAATATATATTTAAATATATATTTTTTTAAAATGGTATACAATTTTACCCTATGTTCAGCAAAGAACCGTTTCCATTAAAGTCAGAAATAAAACAAAAATGGCTACTATGGCTTCTGCTATCCAACATTATATCAGAAGTTCTAGCAAGTAAAATATGGCAAAACATGTCTTCAAATATTGGCAAAGAGGAGGAAAAAATGGTCTATATGTAAATTCAGATTATATAATTGTCTTTTTTAAGAATTTCCAGTAGAATCAACTAAAAACCACTAGAAATAGTAAGATTCAAACAAGAGGACCACAAACCAGATCAGCAGACAAAATCCAGAGCTTTTCTAACCACTAGCACTTTCCATAAAGCTACATACTCAAAAAAATATCCTAGTAAGTTGTAAATACTAATACTTAAGACCTTCCCTAAGGGTTATTATTATAACAGATGACCTGAATAAAAAGATATACAATGCTATGTTATTGGATAACAAGACACCACAGAGCAAACATCTATCTTCTTTTGTTTAAATCTATAAGTCTAAGATATTTAATTAATTAATATCTCCCTTTCAGAAAAAAGTTTGCTGATTCCCACACTATACCATTAAAAGTCTCAGTGTTTTAAAAAATATTGAAATCATCCAAAAGATGGTCTTTGTTTAAATGACTGGGTTAAAAATCAACACAAAAAATATAAGAAATCTAAAGAATCTGGAAAAATTTGGAAATTAAACAATGCACTTGTAAATATTCCATGTGTCAAAGGAAAGATCACAAAGAAAAACTAGAAAATATTTCTAATTGAATAAAAACAAAAACAAAACCTATGAAAGTTTATGGAATATAGCTTAGCTACATTCATATTACAATATGTAATAATAGAGAATGAATGCTTTTACCCCAAGTTTTCTAATAAGGCAAGGATCTTGCCACATTCACTCAATATTGTACTAGATGTTCTAACCAGAGCAATAAGGCAAGGAAAATAAATTAAAAGCACCCAGATTAGCAAGGAAAAAACTTAATTTTTCTTTAATCACAGATGATATAATAATCTACATATTATTTACTCCCAATAATATTTAAAAGAATAAAATAACTAGCAATACATAAATAAAAGAAGTGTAATATCTGAACACTAAAAGCTATAGGTCATTGCCGAAAGACAGTAAATAAAATCTCAATAAATGGAGATATTCCAATATTTAAAATCAGATTATGAGATTGCATAACTCCACAATTTAATTATAAACACAAAACCATACACTTTCAACTGATTAACTTTATGATAGTAAATTATATACCTCAGTGAAACTGTTAAAGAACAGAGAAATATCTTTTAGCTTTTATAAAAATATTTTTATTAGTGCATTGTAGTTATACATTATAGTAGAGTTCATTTTGGCATAATCATACGTGAATGGAATATAGTTCGCTCCATTTCGGTCTCTTGTACTTCCTTGTTCTCTCCTATACTTCCGAAGCTCCTCCATTTTCTTGTCCCTCCTCCCTTTTCCTCAAGCCCCTTCCTCTACTCCACAGGTTTTCCCTCTATTTTTGTGGCATCTACCTCCCTCTTTTTCCCTCTTTGCTCTATCTTCTGCATTTGAAAGAGAACATTTGACCCTGGACTTTCTGAGTCTGGCTTATTTTACTCAACATGGTAGTTCCACTCATTTACCAGGAAATGCCATTATTTCATTCTTCTTTAAGGCTATATTTACTACATTTTCTTTATATATTCATCTGTTTATGGGCATCTTGGCTAGCTTCATAACTTGGCTATTGTGAATTATGCAGTTATAAACATTAATGTTATTGTATAACTACAGTACGCTGATGTTAGCTCTTTTGAATAGATATCAAGGAATGGGATAGCTGGGTCATATGGTAATTCCATTCCTAGTCTCTTGAGGAGTCTCCTTATTGCTTTCCAAAATGGTTGTACTAACGTTCGTTTCCACCAACAATACATGACTGTATTTCCCCCCCACATCCTTGCCAGCATTTATTATTATTTGTATTCTTGGTGATTGCCATTGTATCTAGAGTGAGATAAAATCTTGATGTAGTTTCAACTTGCATTTCTATGATTGACAAGGATATTGAACATTTTTCATATGTATTTTAGCCATTAAATAATTTTTATAGGTACTAGAATGTATTTATATTTTGAAATAAAAACTGCAGTAAGTGTGAGGGTTTATGAAAACTAAAATGTTTTAAGATTTCTTGTTTTAATCTCTTTAAAAAGCTAAACATTGATCATCATAGATTTTAACTTTAAAATCTTCATAATACAATTTCTTCATTTGATGAAATTTTCTTCATTTGATGGAAATTGTCAAGTAGCAGATTTTCCACAGCAAGGAACCCTTTAATATTTTGGTCTGCTCAGTGTGAAAAATTCACACATCACATAATCCCTCTATTACATATCTTCCTCTTAAGTGGGAAGTTCCCTGTTAAGCAGCATCTGTCATGTTAATTTCATTGTTTCTGAGGAATATGAATTTACTTTGGGTGAAATAAAATAATCTATATGATATTAATTTTTGTTCTTAGAAGAAAGTGAAATTAAAAAGCAACTTTTATTGAATAGCTATTGACTGACCCTATGTCTTTGAAATCCATGCAAAGAATTTCAGGATAGATTTCAATGTGGTCTTCATTTTGTATGCCTGTCTTTATTTTTTGGTACCAGGGATTGAACCCAGGGGGGATTAACCACTGAGTCACATCCCCAGTCCTTTTTATATTTTATTTAGAAACAGGGTCTCACTAAATTTCTTAGAGCCTCGCTAAGTTGCTTAGGCTAGCTTTGAACTTATGATCTTCCTGCCTTAGCCTCCTGATTTTTGCTGGGATTACAGGTATAAGCCACTATGCCCAGCTACCTATCATCTTTGAAAAGTCTCTAATGCTGTATGACAAGACACCACCTGGTATCTGGGTAAATGCTCAGGACCAAACCTGTAACTTCTGGACACTGGCATAGACAATTTTATTGGCAATTTTCTGACACTGCAGCAACTGATTCTAAAACTTTCTTGGCCTGGTGGAAGAATTTAGGCAACTGAAAAGGATACTTTGCTGGAGTATTTCCTAGAAGCAAGTGATTAAGTAGACGGTCCTTTTGTAATAGCATCTTCTTCAGAAAGGAGAGTGGCAGCTAGTGCTGCCAGGTGGCAAAGGGAACTTCAAATCAGATATCTTAGCATTAAGAGCAGGAAGTGGTTAGGACTAGTCAAAACCAGTCATTTTACAGAAGAGAACACTGAAACTTACAAAGTTGAATGAACTTCACCCAAGGTGCAGCAGAAACTAAAAGTTTCCTATCCAATGTCTATATCTCCTTCTTCCTCACTAACCTAATCGTTGATGTTTCAGAGTGGCAATATTCCCAGAGTACAATAATTACCCTTGCAGCCTTCCTTGCAGCCAGGGGTAGATGTATGACCCAGTTCTTATATTGAGGAGATGTAAGATAAGGTTGGATGTGGTTTGGGGGAAGTTTTTTAAGGGGAAACACTTGACCTGTGTGTCCTTGTGTCTCTCCTTTCCTCCTGCATGTAATGTAGGCATAAGAATAGCTGCTCAGATCTAACACAGTGTCTTTAATGATGTGTGAGAATTCATTCTGGGTGTGAAAAACCTTTGCTTTTTGAGCAATACCTCTTTCTGATAACCCATCAAGTATTGCTAATATTGGAAAGAAATCCATTTCATGGATGCTACAGATTGTTTATGTTTATGTTTTCCTTATGGAAGCAAGAGCACAAAATTTGAGAAGGACAAGAAAGATCTAAGCTCTAGTCCAAGAAACATTGCAATTGTGTCTTACCTTCCACAGGGCCCTAATTGTGAACATCCAGCACACTAACTGTTGTTGCTTGCTCTAAGAGGCTGTCAGCTCACAGAGGGGAGTAGCACTCTGAAGATGCAAAGTTCTGGTAGAGCATTTGAGCAACATTAATGGAGCATTAAGTAGAAGGGTACTAAAGGGGTGAGGGGGTAGGAGGGGAGGAGAGGAAAAAATATCTGGGCCAGAGAGGGGAAATTTAAAAATTACCAAAAGAAGAAGCAAAACAAACAAAACCTATGATTTATTGAGCCTAGAAAACTCACAGGTGCCTGTAAAATAGGTCGTTTCCACACACTACCTTGCTTTCTGATGCCCAGCCCAGGGCAAACTCTGCCAACCTGCTTAAGAAAAGTGGTTTCACTCTTGTAGTAAATCTTGCTCTTGTCTAATCTAATTATCGCTGGGAGTTTTTTTTTCCTTTTAATTAAAACTCAAGCCCTTATCCTTTTCTCCTTTTCAAGAAAGATAAGAGACTGCCCAGAGCAGAGTAATAGACTAGGGTTACTGTGTTTAGCCTTTTCTTTTCAGGAGAGGCAAAGATTGGCAGGTATGGTCTAAGAGGATATTTCAGCTGTAGTCATCTAGGGAAGCTGCTATTATAAACATAAGTATAAAATATAAGAAACTGCTTTTTAACTTAATCAACAAAATGATTAGAAAAGTGAGTGGACAGTAACTGAAGGTGAGAGCGTCTAGGAGCTTTGCAGTCATGATTTGTGTGTGTGTGTGTGTGTGTGTGTGTGTGGCTATTGTCAAGAGAAAGTCGAGTATCAAGAGGATATGGAGATACTATCGACCTTACACACTTAGAGTGTTTAAAAAAAATACAGTCCTTGTATTTGTTCTCATCTCAGAAGCCCTGGGCTTGGTCTTTGTTACCTATTGGATTTCAGGAAGGTTGACTTGAGATGCGGTGTTGCCATTTCCTGAGCTTTTTTTTTTTTTTTTTTTCCGGAGCCAGCAGCCAGTTCCTTTGTTGTGTCTCCTCTGCCATTCATTTTTCTCTGCCCTCGCACCTCCAGACAGTGTGATGGAGATGTTTCCTGATCTTTTCGCTGGGAGCCCAGGACCATCAGCTTCTCTGGCATTCGATAAAGGACCGCTTTTAAAAGCCAGTGAATGTCTGGGGCTGGGTGCGCGCCACGCCGGGAGCCGACCCGCTTTGTGAGCGCGTTTGTTTGTCTCTACCGCGGTAGGACCGCTGGCGCTAGGCGCGGGCCGCGACCCCCAGGAGGCGGGGCCTCTGCGCGTCCGGCTCCGCCTGGAGAGGGTTTCGTAGTCGTCGCCGCCCTCATTTGTTCGGTTAGATCGCGCTGCCCCGACGCTTCACCTACAGCCTAGTACACCGGACGAGGCAGCCCTGGAGTCCGCTATAGCCTACATCCCACCCGACCCCTCTTCGGACTCTCGTCCTCCGCTTCTTCACTTTTCCTCATTAAAAGCATACTGGAGGAGCGCTTGGCAAAATTCAAAGTAAAAACAGAGAAAGAAGAGGGAAGAGAAAAAATTCGATGAACCCGTTTTGGTTCTCCAGAGTTTGTGAAGGGTCGTAACCATGTCGGAGTCGGGGGAGATAAGTGAATTTGGCTACATCATGGAATTGCTAGCCAAAGGCAAGGTGAGTGCTCGGGGGGGCGCGCGGTGTCACGCCACGGGTCCCTACTCTGGGTACTACCCGGCCTGTAGCCTGATCCGTTTCAGCGTCTGGGGAGGACGGGGGCTAGATCCCATGGTTCGCGCCCACAGCCCGGGCGTCCCAGCTGCTGCAGAATGCAAAGTAGCAGCCTTTTCGTTAGTGAGAGGCGTCTCTGAAATGAGCTGTGGGATACTTTAGAGCGCGTTAGGAACCAGCTGGGCGATCGCCCACTGTGCGAAGATATGGGGACGATGACCACACGTTGGTCAAGGGGACTCTCCCTTATGCACCCAGGGCTGCCCAAGCGAGGTGAGTTCGAGTGGGTGACCTAGCGGGTCCTGGCGCGGAGGCGGAGGGAGGGTCCGAATAGGCCGGGAAGGCGGGGTCGGGCTCAGCTCTCCGACTGTTGTTGTGGAGGATAAACAGCGGCCAGCAACACAGTTCTCCCTTCCTTGGCGTTTTCGGCGCTTTTCCCACGTCTTTAGGCACTGCCCCAGGCAGGGAACATTTCAAACCGCCTTCTTTAGTGGGGAGAAGGGATGCTGGAGGAACCAGATGTCAGCCCCGCACCTGTCCTGAAGCCTTTTGGGGCCCTGGCTGGCGCCGTGGGTGGCGCTCCACGACCACGCCCTCACCTCCGCAGGGAGGAGCCTGCCGTGGGGTAGAGAACCTTGCGAGAAACCCGGCTCCCGACAGTATGCGAAAAACTGCCCAGAGAGGCTTCTAAGTCGTTTGCACACTGTACGCGTCGGGAAATACCGAGGCAGCACCGCTCAGTACCCACCCGACTCTGGTGACAAGAAGGTGGTAAATGGCGTTTGCTGAGAGAGGATTCTGTAGCCCTGGTCTGAGCCCTTGAAACTTCAGTTCCACACCCTATCAACTCCAACAGCCATTACAGAGCAGGGAGTAGTTTTAGTTTTAGACCAGATAGTCCTGTGGGCTCTTAGCCTAAAGAGTCCCAGGTGAACCAACTCCTCCCCACTTCTATTCTTCAACAACTGAATACAATCATCTGAAAGGTGTCGGGGGAGTGCTTCAGGGCGCCGCTTCAATTTATAGACCGGGCAGAGTACAAATGGAGGATCCTTGTTCTACCTCTTTTCCATCCTGAACCTCAATCTGCGTGTGCATGGGAACACCCTGGCCCGTCACAAATAACCTTTTGACCATCTCCAGACCTAGAATGTATGGCAGCCCCCTCCTCCCTCTAGGGAATGGACCCAGGGGAAAGAAGTACAGAAGAAAGGGTTGGCTCCCAGCGAAGAGGAGCACAGCCAGAGGAAGGCCAGAACGTGACCCTCTGGAGAGCAGGATGCACAGACGAACCCTGGCTGCCCAGTTCTAAGTGCTGATGCCTGACAGGAACATCTGCTTGGGAGTCACGGGTTGGAGGATTTCTTTTTTTTTTTTTTTTTAATCTCAGACAAACCACTCATGATGAGATGGGGAATAGGATGATAAATTGGTGAATTTAGGTTTGTGTTCAGGCAGTCTTCAAACGAAGCCAGAATTGTAGTAGTTGGTTAATTCCATATAATTGCATCCAACTAATCAATTGCATCCAAACCCAGAAATTCTGAGAGAATATTTCTGAGGAGGGCCTAGGGATGGGCATGTTGACAACACCCTGGGTGACTATGAAGCCGCTGAGCTTACCATAAACATTAAATGGAGAGGTAGGGTGAACCATTTATGAATCTTGAAACTTTAGAATAAATTGAGGTACACAAAAACAAACAGACCCCTCAGAATGGCAATGTGTTCATCACAATATGCTCTTTGTAATGAAAACACAAAATAACTTTCTAGTTTCCTGCACTGGATTCCTCTGCCTCTCACTCTTGACTAATTAGAGCTTCTCCAGGCTTTAGCAGTGAGCCTGTATGAACACTGTCGTCTGCCTTCCATAGGTGGAGAGGCCAGGTGTCCCTTGGACATCTTACAGGTTTTCCCAGTAAGAGCACTGGTGGGTTCAAGAGATGACTCCTAACCATCTCCATTTAAAAACCTCTATTTTGTGTATGATTATATAGACTTTGGACACCTAATATTAGCCATGAAATAACAAACCTTTAAGACGCACTTTATTTTCCTCTGGGGAGTTAGATTTCACTTTGTAGTTCAGGTTTCTAATGTAATGAATAATATGAAGCTGGTCTAATTATGAAAGTAAAAAGAGATCAGAGGCCTGTAGTCTGCCAATGTTCTCCTGAGTCTCTCAAAGTTGAGACCAGTGCCTGACATCAGCATAATTTCCTTTACTTTCCCTCCAGATGTTGTTTAATCCTCATAGGACTTCTCAAACTGTACATAAATTAATTTAAAATACACCTGGCTTTAAAATCTTAACAAAATACATGCTTCTAGCAAAGTATCCTAACTTTTGAGAGGCTTTACAAGAGGAAACACTGGAGGTTCATTCCCACTTCCAATCCCCTGCCCAATGGCAGATATTTATGTGACTATTTCAAATAAATTAGTTTATCATGAATTCACTGATATGGGAGGTGAGCCTTTCCTCTTAGGGTAACCTAAAACCCACACACTAAACTTGATCAGCTGATTTTACTCTTATTGTGATATGCTTACTTTAATATTTAAAGTACATAGTAATCTCTATCATTGCAATCTTTCAGCTCATCAAACAATACTCTATAGGCACACAGTAGAAATACTTACTTTTCAAGAGTTTTAAAAATCAGCATAAATGCATTTCCTTGTATTTCACTATCAGTGAAACTTTTACCATTTCTGAAATCTGTTTCTTTTGCAACTCATCTCTTTGCACTGAAGAAGAGCTTTTCAAATCTGTGGTCAATATCCAAGATTACTCAGGCAGTATTTTCAAACTGCTTTGATCTCTTCAAAGATTTGCCTCATTAATTTTTTATCATCTTCATATACCTCTTCTCTTAGACTATCACGCATTATTTCAGATTCAAATAATGAAAATTTGATGATGAAGAATAAAGCAATTTAAGTTTAATATACCTCTTTATAATTCCAGTATTTATCATATTTATCTTTACATATAAATGTCCAAAAATACTTCTTGTATCCTATAGTTTAATAGTTACTGTTTGGACACATTCAAGGAGTAGAATAGTGTGAACAAAATTAAGGGGTTTTGGAAAGCTCACATTTAATTTTGTTAGAGAAAAACATGGTGAATTATTAACTTTGAACATCTTTGAGGCACATAAAGTTTAATAATTTTTATAAACACAATATTGACTCTAGAACAAGAAGACACTTATACTCTGAAAGAATTAGGTTTAGGATATTCGTAAATCCAGAATAATATAAAGTCTTAAACATCTCCTGGGACCAAAACAAAAATACCACCAAATGAGCTGTGTCAGAAGGCTGAGTAGATAGGCGCTCACACAACTGAAATTTAAACTGGGTTGATAATGGTAAGATTATCTCCACTGTAAAGTATTCTCCAAAATATTTTTTTAATACGTTGGGATTGAGTGAAATGTGGAGGGTAGGGAAGAAGATTTAGAGTTTTGCAATATAATTTGAAAATAGCTAATTTCATGACTATCATAATTTTTCTCTTTTTAAACTACATTGTTCTGAAAAGTTTTGAGGAAAAAGGGATCTCCTAAACTACACTGTAAAAGAATGAGCCAGATATTTTGTGAAATTATAAATTACATATTTTATACATACCTATGGGCAATGCAATAAGGATGCTAGAGTAACATCCAGTTTTCATCCTGGGTGTTTGATATCTAGCCTTGCAATTGTGAGCATATTACTTAATCTCTGGGTAGAGGTGGGGAGGATTGGTGGTTGTTACCTGTACTCTCTGAAGAAAATTATGCCTGTTTCCACAGGATTATTACAAAGATTAATGAATATGTTATATGACCTTCCTATTATTGTTATTGGCACATAATAGGCCCTTAGTAAATAAAGGTTGTTACCATTAGCTATTATGATAACAGTGTTATATCTTGAGATAACTTATATCCAAATTGCATGATCATTATTAGCAAGTGGAGGTAGAATTTCCAGATAAAATACAGAATATAAAGTAAAATTTGTATTTAATATCAACAACAAATAATTTTACTACTACAGATACGGTTCATGCAATTTCTGGGATATACTAAAAAATTTTATAACATCTGAAATTCTAGTTATACCATGTGCTTTGTTTTTATTTGCTGACTCTACAACTCTGAGGAGGGATGATAAGATTTGGCGAAAGGGGACCTTCCAGACAACCTTAAAATATTACCAATGTTGTTCATCTCAAGTTCATCAAGAGACCCCTTTGCCTACCAGTTATGCAGCAAGTACATACACTCTCGCGATTATCAGAAAAAAGTCTGCAAGAGCAGCATTGTTTCTTCCATTTTCCCAATTTCAAATCTGGTCTGGTGCTACTGTTTAGTAGCTAAATGCCTACTGGATTTTGTCTTAAATAAAAGCTTAAATGGTTAGAGAGATGACTTACAAAATGTCAGATATCAGTGATATGAAATAAAGAGTATGTAATTGTGTTAGCAGGAAGACCCTTAAGTGCTAAAGGGGTTACATTAAGAGACAGTCAATGTAAACCAGATTAATGAAGGAGGCTCTAGAATCGTAGCTTGAAAGATGAGTGGAATTTGGTCAGGCAGTGGAAATCTGAACTTCCTGGCTCTCTGGACTCC